GCAGGCCCACAGACCCCTACCACCCCCCCACACGCAGGACCACAGAGCTCTAACAACCCCCGACACGCAGGACCACAGAGCTCTAACAACCCCCACACGCAGGACCACAGAGCTCTAACAACCCCCCCCCACACACAAGACCAGAGCTTCAACAACCACCGACAGCCCAGTCACTTCAAGGCCGGCTCTGCTTCTCTCGCGCACTCGAGCCCCAGACACGGCACAGCGTGTGTTCCAGCTGGCAGGGCCTCCCGGTGCCTGCGTTGGGTGCGCAGTGCCCAGCCATCGGGTTACAGGGGTAACAAGTGTCTCAGCTGTTTACCCCAACTGTCTGGAAATTTTGGTTCAACAATAAGGTGCAATGAACAAAAAGGGCAATACAAAAATGTCATAGTAGGCTGGCAGTGGCGTAGCGGTTAAGGGAGCTGGACTCCCACGTGGCCGATCGCAGTCTGAACCCTGGACCTGGCAGCTTGTTCTCTCACTCTCCCCTCTCTCTATCCCCCTCTGATCAAATTAAAATAAAGTCATATAAAATATTCTTTAAAAAAATTTCATACCTATTTCACTAGTTGACATAAACTAAAAAAAAAAGAAGTTCATAAAAGATAAAGTTGTATTTATCTTTACTCAAATACGGTTGAATTAATGTGCTGCTCCCCACACACAGCGCTGTCTTTGTTTCGGCGAGAGCGCGGTCAGCGACAGGTGCTAAGGCGGCCTGCATACCTGAGTGACGCCATGTTTCCGAGCTCTGCTGGCAGACTACGGATCTTATTTGAGGACAGGTCCAGATACGCCAGGTTGTGAAGCTTGGCAATGTCTGAGGGGATGCGGGACAGGGAGTTGTCACTCAGATGCAAAGCTGTCAAGTGAGTCAGCGACCACAGGGATGAGCTTAAACTTCTCACTTTTCCTGCACGAGACGAGAAAATGGCAAGTTATATAGGGCTCTCCACAACTTGGTTAGTAGATTAAAGAAGATTCAGATGTTTTGATGAGTAACTTATTATCCAAATCGTGAAGAGTAAACATGGGAAACCTGACTCTACCAATTCAGTGCTATGACTAAGTTCTAACCTCTCCACTCAGCAGACAGACTAAAATAAAAATTTAAGGCACTATATCAACACTTAGATTTCATCTTTACTCTTAAGACTAAAATGGGGGGAGGGCATGGTGGTTAAGGGCGCTGGATTCACACATGGCCAACCCCAGTTCGAGTCTCAGACCTGGCGGCTTGCTTTCTTTCTCACTTTCTCAATCTCTCTCTCTCTCTCTCTGTCCCTCTCTGGTCAAATTGAAATAAACAAATGAATAAATAAATAAAATAGAATAACTAATAAAATAATTCTTTAAAAAGTACAATGGGAAATAATTTACCCTTTAAAATGACCTCAGATATGATGTGAAGAAGTATAATTTATAGTGATGATAAACCAATATTTATGATTAATTTGACAAAACCATACAAGACAAAATCAAATTGTAGTATCTCAGAGGCTATTCTTATCTGTACTCAAGAAAACAAGAATTTTGCCTAAAAACAAAAAGGAAAACAAGATATTCTCAGGTGAGTTTCAAGACCAAAGAACCCAAGTGATAAACGTGCCAAGAGCCATGTAACTGAACACAGTCAGCTGCACTGCAGGACAGCAAGTGCACCTGCCAGAAATCCTTCCGAAGTGAAGTCCAACTACTGTACCCCACAGCGGAGGACAGAGCAGCAGACTCAGAGACTAAAACAGAAAACTAACCACATTAAGCAGAGGCAGAAGGAACAGTACACTTGGGACCACAGTTGGCGTAATGGCTATTGTCACTGGACTCCCATGTAGTTTTAGTCCTGAACCTGGTGGCTTAAACTCACACTGGGCGCGTGTACGTGCGTGCCCAAGGTCCCGAGAGGAGAATGGAGGAGAAGGGATTGCAGTGTGGCCATGTCCCCGGGGGGTGATTTTTCGCTTTCTATCTCTCTTGTCTCTCTTTGTCTTTCTGGTGAGTGCATGGGCCCTATAACAGAAACCTCTCCACTGTGGAAGATCAGTGAACTGAAGACAGCAATAGAAACAATTTGAAACAGAAGAGAAAACATACTAGAAGATGAGAAGTATGTCAGTGAAGTCTGAAACAACTTTAAACAGTTTCATATATATGTAAGTGGAGTCAGTCCTCAAAACAGGGATAGTATTGGGGAAGAAAAAAAAATCTTTTTTTTTTTTTTGGAGAGGTTTTTGGTATAAGATGCATATACTTCCCAGAAACACAAAGAGACAGAAGGTGAGAAATCACCCCCGAGGGGGGTGGCCATGCCGCAATCCCTTCTCCTTCCTCTCCTTTTTGAGATCTTGGGCACACGTGCCCAGCGTAAGTTTAAGCCACCAGGTCCGGGACTCGAACCGAGGTGGACTACATGGGAGACCCAGACACAGAGGCACATGCTAAGATGCTGTGCCCTATAGGCTGGGACCATATGGGAGGCCGGGGTTCACGTCCCAGATCACCATGCAGACCAGGCACCACAGTGTGTGCTTGTTCTGAGTGGTGGCTCGGAAGGCCAAGGCAGGGGACTGCAGCACAAGAGCCCCGGACTTTAAAAACAAAACGAGAAATACTAAAGCGGAGACTGCAGCACAAGAGCCCCGGACTTTAAAAAGAAAGCGGGAAATACTAAAGCGAGATCAGCAACAACACGTGGGGTTTATAGCATATGCAGACGTGACTATAACCACATAAAGGATCAGGGAAGAAAATAAAAGAGCATCACAAGGCTCGGCCGTTTCCCTGAAGTGGGTGGTGTAGGATTTGAAGGTTACAGAGTCAGGTATTGCCTGTACTACAAGCCCTAAGTCAGCTGAAGAAACGGCTGTAGGCAGACAAACTAAGAAAGAGGTAAAATGGAATGAACGAAAAACCCAACAGCCTGGACTGGACCCCAATGGGGAGTGCTTTCTCCCTGCCCGCCCTCCCTCTGGCAAGTGACTTTGGCATTTTAAGAGCACTGTGGCAATTAAAAACCAGTCACAATTGGGCCAGCAGACGGCACGGCGGTTACATTGCTGACTCCCACATGGCTGGTCATGGTTCAGGTCTTAGACCCGGCGACGGGGAACTCATACCGGGCACATGTTCGTGTGTGCCCGCCCAAGACCCCAGGAGGAGAGTGGGGGAACAGACTGCGGTGTGGCCGTCCCGAGGGTGACCCTCACTTGCCCTCTCACTGTCTTTCTCTCTCTGGCTAGCACATGTGCCCTAGGGCACAAAAACTTCCTTTTTTCTTTTTTGAGAGGGTTTTGCATTCTTTCCTATATATTTTGTACATTAGGTAATGAAACAGTAAATAAGGGAAGTGTCTCTTGCAGGTGGCACGGTAGTTACGGATACCAGACTCCCACATGGCTGACTGTGGTTCAAGACCTGGACCTGGTGGCTTGCTTTCTCATACTCCCTCTCTCTCTGCATGTCTCTCTCTGGTCAAATTAAAAATAATAATAATAAAATAAAAATTAAATAAATAAGTCTTTAATGCTCTCAGCTAATGATAAATAAATGATGGAATTACAACGACACTATTTTGCAACCCTCAAAAATTAATGGCTCTGGGCAATGAACAGCAATTAAATAAAAACAGGCATTCAGATTTATGTGCCCCCTACAAGAAAGCACAGCCTAACCCACACAGCCCGTCCTGTGAGATGCTTCAGTCCCGACGGAGGCTCGGTCTGAGCTGACCCAGCCTGAGCGTGGCTGCACACCTGCAGGAAGGGCCGAGGCAGGAGCACAGTGGGGAGGGCAGGCCTGGCCGCCTGACGCAGTAACAGAACCACTATGAGGGGAGAGCCTATAGACTAGGACGCACCAAGTACGAGAGGGGAGAGGTGCTCTGCTATAATGCTTAGGCGCACAGACTGGGGTGTTAAAACCCTAAGAAAACACATGGGACCAGCAGATGGCATAATGGTTACATCGCTGGACTCCCACGCAGTCAGCCACAGTCTGAGCCCATACCCAGCAGCTTAAAAACCTCATGCCAGTGCACGAGTGTGCACGCCCAAACCTGAGAGAATGGAGAAGGGGTATGGCGTGGCTGTCCTACAACTCTACAAGACTCTGAGGGGCTGCTGCTGTCATCTACTAGGCTGAAAAGCATTCGGCCTAGACAATTCCCACACACAAGCTTATGTTTTAGTGTGATGTGAAATTCCTGTTGGTGTCTTTGTTCATCACAAGGTCCGATTCTGCAGATCAATTCAATGGTCTACCCTGCAGGAGGACAGCTAGTGAATATTACTATTAAGAATGTTACTTCAGGGACCAGCAGTTAGTGTAATGGCTATGTTGCTGAACTCCCACGTAGTCAACCGTGGTTCAAGTCCCAGACCCAGTGGCTTAAACTCACACCAGCGCCTGTGTGTGCGTGCCCAAGATCCTGAGAGGAGAAAGGAGGAGAAGGGATTGCACAGTGGCCATCCCCCTGGGGGTGATTTCTCGCTTTCTGTCTCTCTGTCTTTCTAGCTAGAGCATGCAACCTATAGCCAAAGAAAAAAAAGATAATAATAATAATAAACCTCTCCAAAATAAAAAAGTTACTTCAGGTACCAGCAGATGACGTAATGGCTATGTTGCTGGACTCCCATGTAGTCAACCATGATTCGAGTCCCGGACCCGGTGGCTTAAACACACTGGGCACATGTGCGTGCGTGCCCAAGATCCTGAGAGGAGAAGGGATTGCAGTGTGGCCATCCCCTCTGGGGGTGATTTCTTGTTTTCTGTCTTTCTGTCTTTTTGGCGAGCGTATATGCCCTATAGCAAAAACTTCTCCAAAATAAAAAAGGAGGAGGAGGTTACT